AAAAGTTTGGTTCGAAAACGGTTAACCGAACTTTGTCGGTTCGGTCGGTAAACCGAAAATTATCCGAAGTTTGCACACCCCTAGCTACTGGCATAGGCACACTAAATGTAACTAGCTTGCCAAAGCTGGACAAAGTATTGCTTGTCCGTGGTCTTCACGCTAACCTTATCAGCATAAGTCAGTTATGCGACCAAAATTGGAACGTGTGCTTCACTAAAGATAGCTGCAGTGTGATGGACAAAACAAACCAATGTGTTATGAAAGGTAAAAGATCAACTGATAATTGCTATATTCTAACAAATAATATGTTCTATTGCAGGTCAAGCATAAATGAAGCTGAGCTATGGCATCAAAAATTGGGGCATCTGAGTTATAGACTACTTGATAAACTAGTAAAGACAGAAAGTGTTCGTGACTTACCTAAAATGAAAATTGACAAATTTGCAAGTGAGAGTTGCAGGTAAGAATTACAGGTAATTTTCTAATTTTAATTATATTAACCATTTTGTTTTGCTAATAAAGTTTGCTAATGTCTTAGGTTACTTAATTTTTTCTAGACTGCTTAATCTATAGGATCTCAAATCTCTTCTCCTTTCAAAAGTTTCCCTATCCTTTTAAAATTCTTGTACCCAAAATTGTTACAAACCTTTATCCATTCTAAAACTTTTTCCCTTATTTAAAAACAACAAAAAAAAAAGAGAAAAAAAAAAAAAAGGAAAAGTGTATCAGTAACAAGACAATTGAGGTAGTTGATACAGAACACGAGGGGAAGATTGATATGGAGAAGGAAGAAGACTTTGACGAAGAACATTTTCTCAGTACTTTGAAGGCTTCAAACACTCAGGAAGTTGGTACAGACTCTAACTCTCCTCCTTTAATTGGTATTACCTCAATACCCGAGTTTGGGAATCCTAATGTGCCACAGTACAATTTTTTACTTGCAATCTTCTTTCGCAACCTTCGTATGCCATTTATGTTTTTTTTTACTCTATTTTTTTTTTAAATGTGCCTAAGATGAATTTTGTCTTTTATTTTATGTGAGTGGCTTTAAAATTGAACATGAATTATCCATTCCAACTTCTATATATGCGTGTATCTCTGAATTTATTAACACATCAGGCACATTCGATCATTCTGGATTCTTTATCTTTACTTGTTCGTTTAATTTTTATCTTTAAAGTGTTCATTTAATTTGCCTGGGTTACTCTTTATGTTTTGTTATTAGTTGTTTTTGTGTGTTCACTAAATGTCCTATTTACGTTTAATTTGCCTGGGTTACTCTTTAAAGTGTTCGTTTAATTTGCATGGATTAAAGTGTTCCTTTTTGTTCGTTTAATTTGGTGCAATTTGATTAATGTGTTTATTCTCTTGTGTTACTTTATGTTTATGTGATTGTGTTTTGTTTGGTCAGGTCATGACCATATTTGTGTTTATTTATGTGTTTCCCGCGCTATCTGTGCCTAAATTATTTATTTGTGTGTTTTCCGTGATATCTGGTCTGAATCTGTGCCTAAATTTGGTTTATATGTGTCTATGTCTGAATTTAATTTATTTTGAATCTTTGGCTTGCTTTACATGAATTTGCTTACTGTTTTATTTGCTAATCTGTTTGACTCGAATTGAAAATTGAAAATTCCTAAATTTTTTCTTTCTTATGCGTTTTGCTGAGTTGTTTGCAAGTTGCATGTGCATGGCTCTAGGGCTCTCGGTTTTTTTTTTTTTTTTTTTTTTTTTTTTTTTTTTTTTAAATCTTTTGCAGGTTCAAACAAAGCAAATAACTTATTATGGAGTCCCAATTACAGCTTCAAGCTAATGTGAAATTTTTGGCAAAGGAAACAATCACGATGTATATTTTGAGAGGGAGTTCTTCTTAATCTCTTATGGTAATCTTCTTTTGGTAAATCTCTTGCTATTATATCAGTCTTCGGTTATGAAGTTTATGGTTATTAATCTCTCACCAAGTATAAAGCCTTTATTTGACTGTATGATGGCTATATGATGCATTGGATTCTCTTACTGGAATTTCTCAGATTTTGGATTATCTCGTTTCGCTATAATTTTTTTGCATCATCATAATCTCTGGGGTCTCATTTTATAATCATCACCTTATTTGGATTATTCTTGGATTATCTACTTGATGATATTATTTATGAGGAATGTTTTGGATGTGATTGCTTCTAAGGCTTTATCCTCTGGGTGTATGATATTTGATGCTGATCAATATAATGCAAGATTGGATATTAGAGAAAATGATAAACTAAGCCAGCAAGTAAGTATGAGGCTGATACTGGCGCTACTACTAATGAAACTGATGATGCTGGCGACGACTCAGTTTCGGGCACCCCGTCTGCACGGTAAAACTAATCCACTTTTATAATGTTCACCTTCCTTTGGCATTTATTTGGCAAAAAGGAGGAGTTTTTGGAGTAAGGGGGAGTATGTATGGTATTTTTGTGGAAGTGGAGTATTTGGCAGTGGTGTATTTTTTGGCAGTGGTATATTTTTTGGACGTGTTTCTGTTAGTTTTTATGGAAATAATAGGACTATATTTGTTAGGCGGAGTAGTAGTTTCTTTTGGTGTTCCTAACAATTTGAATGGATGGTTCTTTTATGCTACTACTCACATGAACAAGTTGTTTTATGATGTGGTATGCTATGAATTCAATTCTACTGTGTGTGATTCACGGCTTGAAGAATTCTAATCAGGTACACTATTCACAAATGGTCCAAAAAGAACTTAAGTTGTGTTATAATTTGATTTTATACCTTTGTGTCTTGTTTAAGTACCTATACTAAGGGTTATAAATAAAATTAAATATTGATTCTTGCCCAAAGTATTTGATATTCAAGTTTTCCCAAATAAAATGCCAAAGGGGGAAATTGTAAGTGTAAAATAATTTACACAATATTGGCTATTTTATTTAGCTGTAGCTTTATCAGTTTTAAGTAAGAACTTAATTATTGTTGTTAGAATTATTTCATTTTTTGGACCATGTGATTACAAAATAAGTGGATGGTATGCATTGGTGAATAAAGTCTACGAATGAAGCTTTCAAAGAAATAAAAACGTGGCCGTGGTTTATTCGAACAAGGAAAAGCAAGGAAAAGGGCTACATTTAAGGATCACAAAGGAAGTTCATTATGTGCTATAAAAAGATGCTGTTCGAAAGAAGACATTGTCAATTTTGAGATTATTATTTACGAGAGCTATTCTGATTTACAAAGCTATTCATTTTAATGTGGTTTATTATTTAATTCTTAAGAATATTTAATCTGTACTACATGATCAGTACATGGTACTACTGAAGTATCTTGTGAAGATTGTTCAGGTATTCATGTGTCAGTCCTAGATAGGTGTTAGAAAGAGTGGTAGTGGTAAAGGCTGGAGGTCATCTTCATTTACCTCTTGTAATACTCCTTTTGGTGAACGTCTATAGTGGATTGGGCAGACGTGGGTTGCCCCGCAGATGTAGGAGAAGGAGCTCCGAACTGCGTAACAATTTCTTTGTGTTTTTAATTTACTTTATGCTTTCTGCTGTTATTATTTACACTTGCTTAAACGAGTCTAATTAATTAACGAAACTGGTGCATAACTTAATTAACGAGTAAAAACACATTGCTTTTATTTTTCAAGTATCACGGTGCAATTTCAGTATAAATTAGCGTTGTACATATTATTACAATCCACTTGTAATATCCTACATCAATAGAAGAAAATATTATTGCAATTATATTGTTCTTCTATTTTACTACTTTTATATTATATGCGAGATTATTGACCCGTATAATTACATACTCCGGGGTCAATTTTCTCCATCATCACCTTCACAAACCTCTTCTCCAAGCTCCGGAACACCTTCGTCTGGCGGAGGATGGTCGTCGTAGACAGGTCGGAAAACAGCGTGGCGACCAAGGAAGGTGAATTATACTCCAAGTAGGTGAAATGACTACTTTACCCCTCAAACTAACGTTCATTTAACATTCAACTAACGGAATGACCAACATTGGAAAGATTTCGAAAGTCAAGTTTCTAAATTGTCCAAATTAAAAGTCGGGGACCAATTGTGGAAAATCAACATAGTCGGAGAACCATTGCTGGAATTAACTCAATGAACTACTTCAAAAATAAAACACAAAAAACATGCATCTATTTCTTAAAAACTGACATATATTAGGTGATATAGTATTGTTTATGTGAGTTTTCGGCACTTTTGGTCCCATAATTATAGTGCCACTATCAGGATTGATCCACAACTATTATTTTTTTTGCAAAAATGATCCTTCCAGCTCATTTTCGGCCAATTTTCCGGCCCGCTTTTGACGAAAATGGTTCTTACTCTGATGAGAAATTGATGTATTGCTTTGAGCATCAGTAATTGACTAATTGTAAACCCCTTACAACCCATTTTTTAGGATTTATATATAAGTACTAGTAATAATATATAATTGGAGACACCAAAAGAAAAAAACTTTTTTCTCCAAAAAAAATGAAAAAATTGTAATCCCTGCTCTTTACGGTGTATTTGGGAACCTGGAAATGACTTGTTATTTGTTTATTTGCACTAAATATTTAAAAATCTCATTTTATAACGTTTTTGGTTTTTCCAAAGAGACTATACCACCCCAAGAATCAATTTTTTTTTCCTGTCAATTCCTGAAACATTGGCATATATATTCCTATTCTGGATCCAGCCGGCTTCAATTCGATACACACAAAGTAAAAAAGAAAATAACGTTAAAATAAAACAATTGTGTCTCATATGTTTAACAACAAATTAAAGCCACCATATAATGCATATTGTCATTACACACAAATTAAAGTAAGTCAGCAGAAAACAATCTAAGTAGTCATAATTACATTACATACAGAAGGAAAGAGATCGAGAAGAATGGCCTGCGTATCTGTATGTTCTCTTATGAGGACCATAGAGCTTGAGTTCTTACAATCTAAGCCCCGTCCAATCATACTAGAAAAAGAACTCATCCCTTGCAACAAAGACTTGTCATTCTTGCAAACTTCTTTGTATATTAGAACAAGCAATAGAAGACATTGACACCATCAAGGAAGAGTTGTGGAAAGTCAAGATGGAATACAAGTATTCCATAGCCTTGAAAAGAAGGAAAACAACAACACTTGGTGCTTTTACCAATGGTGATGAAGTTATCATGATGGAGGATTCCTCCGAAAGTGCTTCAAACTCCGAGGACATAATGGTGGGGAAAAACAATGAGTTCCAAATGGTGAAGAAGATGCTAATTGAACATCCGTCAAGACAACGAGAAATTGTCTCGATTAAAGGTATGGGAGGTATTGGCAAGACAACGTTAGCTAAACGGTTATATGATGATCCATCGATTGCCTCCCACTTTAACAAGCGAGCTTGGGTTGTTGCATCGCAACATCATAACAAGACACATATGCTCACAGATATTCTTGAATCAATAGGCTATGTAGATTGTGACACTACAAAGGACATAGAGGAAAAAGTATATCAATGTTTGATGCATCAAAGGTACTTGTTAGTGTTTTTAAATGTTCAAAAACCCCATATTATAATTGGCAATATTATTATGGCATACTAAGATAGGTTTAGAGTCTGTCCGTTTATCTCTACAGATAACTGATCAATCAGAAGCAACAACAGAAGGACTGACACTGAAGATCTGATTTAGGAAGCTGGTTTCTTAAAAGGCTTACGCGGTATTATCAGACTCATATGGAAAGATGATCAGCGTATATTCTTAAGAAAGGTATGGACCTAATCTTCTGAGATTACATTCCTCTTTTATAGTCCTACCTTCTACGATCAAAGACATCTATGGAGAGTGGTTATTGAAGGATCTATAAGTACCCTTATTCGAAGAGAATTAGGGTTACGCCGAAAGTAAGAAGAAACACTCCATATCTGCTATATGAGATTAGATCTTTGATTGTCATGCATCTTCTCAATACAATATGTTCACGGTGATTAAGATGATGAACTTGAGAAGAGTTACTACTACTTAAACGAAAGGACACTGTGATCACACTATTGTGGGAACAACTTTATAGAGCGTCATTGAAGTGGACTGCATCATAGTGGGCTCTCCAAATGAAGGGATTTCATTGGACTTCTGTATGCATGGCTCTCCATCTTCAACAATCCACTAGACCTGTGTAGCCTGGGTTTGAACCTTGTGTGGGGCACTTGGGTAAGATTATTGTATATCTACCTTTTGTACATTGGTTTATGATTTAGTGGATTGGACGCCTATGTGATCGTCCCCCAGACGTAGATACACACCGTATCGAACTGGGTAAACATTCTGCGTCTTTGGTTTTTGTGCGGTTATCTTTCTCTTATTCTCTCTTTGTGATCTATCGTTACTGATTGGCCTCTTATCTGAATCAATCAGTAATCTACATCAGTCATCTAATTCTGTCAAATTACTTAAAATGAGGAATTGCAAAATTACATGTGGTATCAGAGCTTTTATGTCTACATAGTGACTTGATCCGAAGGGCTGTTTTAGTTTTGCATTCTCTCTGTTTTTGTGCGAGTCTCTCTGTGTGTTCATTGCCTGGTTGTTGTATTCAGGATGGACGCAAGTATGAAACCGCCAAAACTAGATGGTCACAACTACTCTTTCTGGACGGCTCGAATGGAGATATATTTTCAAGCACAAGATACCAGGGTTTATCGCACCATTCTAACTGGGTGGAGTCGGCCTACTACTCAGAATGCGCAAGGAGTTGCTGAAGAAAAACCCATGGAGACTTCGACAGATGATGAAATGAATGCCTCTGATCTGAACAACAAAGCATTGAACTCAATTGTAGGATCACTGCATGAATCTGTTTTTACGCTTGTTACAGGAGTAAAAGAGGCTAAACGGGTATGGGAAATTCTTGAAACCAGATTTGAAGGAACCAGTGATGTCAAACAGTCAAAGCTGCAAATGGTTCTGTCAGAATTCGAAGCACTCAGAATGATTGAAGACGAAACCATTTCGACCTTCCACAGTAGGGTTCAGATCTTGATGAATCGAGCCTCAATTCTTGGGGAACCATTCACTGATGAGAGAGTGGTCAAAAAGATTCTTAGATCTTTACCTAAACGCTTTCGAATGAAAGTAACTGCTATTCAGGAACACACAGGTTGGGAAAAGAAGACTGTCGGAGAACTCATGGGAAGCTTACACACATAAGAACTGGAAGTTCTTGCTGATGATGATATTGGAAGCAACAGGAAAGGAAAGTCGGTAGCCTTTGTGGCTGAGGCTGATCGAGAATCTGACACAGACGACATAGATGATGAAACCTTAGCTCTTCTAACCAAAAACTTCAAGAAAATTTTAAAAGGTTTCAACAGAAAGGGTCAAGGTCAGCCTACCAGGACACAATATAAAGGCAACAACTCCTCATATCAAAAGGTAGAAACAACACCTTTTTCACAAAACAATCAATCTCAGACTGGGCGATCAAGACAAAACAGAAACAGTTCCACAGACACAGGAAAACCCCTCAATCGGTCAGTGCAATGTAGGGAATGTGAAGGACACGGTCACATACAGGCTGAATGTGCAACATATCTTAAAAGGAAAAAGGCTATGTCTGTAGCTACTCTTAGTGATGATGAGGAGGAATCAGACGGTGATCAATCTGATGGAGAATCATACATATCAGCTGATGATTTTGAAGAGAGACATACTCAACTTGAGACAGAATTTGCAAAACTTGTTGCTAGCTGGGAACAACTTGTGAAAGTGAATAAGAATCTGAATGACGAGCTGAAGCAAAGAGATGATCTTCTAAAGAAATTGAATGCAGAATTGGTCATAAAAGAAGATCTCATCACTCAGATACAGTCCAGAGAAGGAAAACTAATAAAGGAATTGGAGAGCTTGAAGAAAAATATCCAGATGATGGACACCACATCTACCTTAGATAAAATTCTAGACTCTGGCAGAAATCCTAATGATAAAAAGGGTCTGGGATTTGAACAAGGAGAGTCTTCGAATAACGCACCAAAGTTCATCAAAGAGGGAATGTCTAAGACCACTACTGATCACAGGTATGAACAAGGACAGTCATCTCAGTCAGTACAAAATAAGGGAAGGAGGTACGATCAAAATACTGATACTAACCTGGCCAGATCAACTCATCAATCTCATTATTCGAGGTTTAAAAATAAGATTGTCAAAGTTAAATATAACACTCCCATTTGTCACTACTGTCAAACAAAAGGTCATACTCGACCTGAGTGTTATTTTTTCTACAGAGATCAAAGGAAGGAAAAATATCAGAATAAGACTATTACACCATTCACTAGACAGGTTTGGGTCAGAAAGTCAGAGGTCATCTGCTACCCCCACCATTGTTCTGACTGCATCTACAACTGATGCTAGATGTATTTCGACAGTGGATGTTCCAGATATATGACTGGAAATATTAAGTGTCTGATGGCTGTTCAATCCAGCAGTGGAGCTGTAACATATGGAGATGGACAAAAAGGTAAAATAGTGGGAAAAGGTATCCTAAATGTACCAGGCTTACCTCAATTAGAAGAAGTCCTGCTAGTCAGTGGGTTGAAAGCGAATCTAATTAGCATCAGTCAGTTGTGTGATCAAAATTGGAATGTGTGCTTCGATCGTAATTGCTGCAGAGTTAGTGACAAAGCAAATCAACTTGTCATGGAAGGAACTCGGTCCTCAGACAATTGTTATGTTTTGACAAATGAAACTGCTTGTCATCTATCCAAGTCTGATGAATCAAAACTCTGGCATAGACGACTGGGTTACATAAACTTCAGAGATATGGATAAGCTGATAAAATTGGAAGCAGTAAAAGGTGTACCTAAGATCAGAATTGATCCTGAAAAAATCTGTGGCGCATGTGCAATTGGGAAACAAATCAGAACTCCACACAAAGCAATAAAAGGTATCACCACTGAGAAATGTCTAGACCTTGTCCATATAGACCTCATGGGGCCAACACAGACTGAAAGTATTGGGGGAAAGAAATACATATTTGTGTGTGTGGACGACTTCTCTCGATACAGCTGGGTATACTTTCTGAGAGAAAAAACAGAAGCCTTCAAGGCCTTTAAGACTCTGTGCATAAGAGTTCAGAAGGAAAAGGATGAGTCCATTATAAAAGATCAGAGATTGAGGAGTGATCATGAAAAGGAATTTGAGAACTCACTATATTCAGACTTCTGCTCCGAGCATGGTATATCACATGAGTTCTCAACTCCTAGAACTGCTCAACAGAATGGAGTAGTAGAAAGAAAGAATCGAACTTTACAGGAAATGGCTAGAGTCATGCTACATGCCTCACATCTGCCACAACGCTTCTGGGCTGAAGCAGTTCACACAGCGTGTCATACTATAAATAGGGTCTATCTTAGACCAGGAACAACGAAAACTCCTTATGAGATCTGGAAGGGAAAGAAGCCAAATCTGAAAAATTTTCATGTGTTTGGAATAAAGTGTTATGTGCTAGCTGATAGAGAACAAAGAGGGAAGTTCGAACCCAAGAGTGATGAGAGCATCTTCCTTGGATACTCTCCGAATAGTCATGCCTACAGAGTCTACAACAAGAGGACTCAGTCTGTGATGGAGTCAGTGAACGTGGTTATCGATGACAACCCAGAAGAATCAGTAGACTCAACGGTGATAGAGTCTTCTCTAAGTGATCCAGATGCGAGTAATAACAACAGTCAACTCAAACCACAAGATTCGTCAGATGAAGATCAAGAAAGTTCGGAACAGGAGATAGATCTCATGAATGATGTTGGTAAAGACAAGCCCACCAGAACTCGGAAAAACCATCCATCAGATAACATTATAGGAGATCCATCAGATGGGATGAAGACCAGAAGCAGAATAAGAAATAATCTGACAGAAATATCTGGGTCTACTTGCTATACCTCAAAGATAGAACCCAGAAATGTCAAAGAAGCCTTACAGGATGATCTGTGGATCAAGGCAATGCAGGAGGAACTACATCAGTTTGAGCGGAATCATGTCTGGAATCTTGTACCAAGACCTGATGGTGTCAACGTAATTGGAAAGAAGTGGATCTTTAAAAATAAAACTGATGAAGCCGGGAATATAGCCAGAAACAAATCTCGGTTAGTTGCTCAAGGTTATACTCAGATTGAAGGGATTGACTATGACGAGACGTTTGCTCCTGTAGCTAGACTCGAGTCAATCAGAATCTTGCTGGCTGTCGCATGCATTTTGGGATTTACGTTATATCAGATGGATGTCAAGACAGCATTTCTGAATGGGTATCTCCATGAAGATATCTATGTGGCTCAACCTAAGGTTTTTGAAGATCCAGAACACCCTACTTATGTCTATAAGCTTTGAAAAGCTCTCTACGGTCTTAAACAAGCCCCACGGGCTTGGTATGAACGACTGACACAGTATTTGCTCCAACATGGGTATAAACGCGGAAGTCTTGACAAAACTCTATTTGTAAAAACTACTGGAAGTCATGTAACCATAGCTCAAATCTATGTTGATG